TATATATATATACTAATGGTAATAAATATACATTTCATTCCTAAAATATATTTTATTTCTAGTATATTACCTCTGTTATCGAAGACAGTTTTATGAAGATTTTACCACTCTTTTTACATACACACACACACACATATATATATATATATATATATATATATACATATATATATATATATATATATATATATATATATATATATATATATATATGTATATATATATATATATATACATACATGTATATATAAGAATTATGAATGTATGTGCTTTTAAGACTGATAAATCTAAAAATAAGGTATTCAAAATTAGCTTGAAGATGAAACAGAATTAATGCTTTTATTTTAATTATATAATTAAATTTGAAGTTTTAGCTTCGAGTTTTGAAACATGGTAATTTCTGTGTAGCGAAGGAACTATATTTTTAAATCAGTTAATTTATAATATTTATGCTTTGTGAATTTACACTGAGCACTGTTTTGTAAATATAAAATAATATCAATAAGAACTCCAGATTATATATCTTACTGCTCTTTTTTTTTTGCTATAATATATATATATATATATATATATATATATATATATATATATATATATACAATTAAAAAGATAAGTAAAAACCTTAAGATTTATAATCCAGTGTTCTTAACAATAATTCTTAGTTAAAAAAAAACAGTGCTCAATACAAACAATAGAGCAAAATAGTAAAATTATTTTAAAAAAAATATATATTTCAAAAAAATATATATCTTACTATTATAAACTTTACATTTAATGTGTATATGCATGACAGTCGGAAAAAGAAAACATTCAAAATATAGATATATATTTTAGTACATTAAACTTTATTTTAATAGATACCCATATATGAGTAGACGCCTAATTATTTATTAAACAGTTTATTTATTTATTTTCGCCCGCCGGCCTAAATATTCGGTTTTGCTTAATAATCGCCGACGTAATCCCTTTATGAGTCGGTTTAGAGCACCGTAACTAAGGACAGTTTCTCCCGAAGATGAGTACGCAATTTCGAATCAGACCGGAGAACGCAGATGTTGTATGTTTCATTAATATGATTTCTCGAATATTCAGGTCGGTAAAGGAAAATAAATAAATAAATATTTTGTTTAATAAATAAACAAAGCGTCTACTCACATATAAGTATACACTAAAACTATCATTTAAAATCATAAAATCGGTCACATTAATAAATTTAATGAATTCTTTAGAATATATATATATATATATATATATATATATATATATATATATATATATATATATATATATATATATATATACTCTCGACTCTCTCGTCGAATTCGACGTATGAGGATCAATCAGATCAGTTCCCAGGAAACCGACAGCCCGACAACAGCACATGAGATTTGATCATAGTGGTGAAGGTTTCGTGCCGGATCATCCACACATTTTGACGGGCTGAATACAGAGACTTGGTGCACTAAGTGCCACAAGGTCCCCAAACGACCCTCTGCAGGTTTTGAATTCAGAGTTTTCCTTCTTCTAGACCAGTTGCCACCCACGGGTATAAAACCCAGTCTGTCCTGCTATTTACCCATAGCTGGAGGTAGAAGAAGAGGATTCACACACTTCCCAAGTGTATTAGCACGTAAGTGAATGTAATGGATTCGGCTGGAATTTGGACCCGGCTTTCCGATTCCTCAATCCAAGCCGCTATTCATTACCTCCACTGTGCCTCCTCAATATATATATATATATATATATATATATATATATATATATATATATATATATATATATATATATATATATGAAAATTGTAGTAGTTGCTGACGATTCGTCCAATGAGGAGAAAGTTCACATTACACGAAACGCTTCCGCAACTACTAGTTTTCTTATTGTCATTTATATTTCGAAATAAATATATATATATATATATATATATATATATATATAAATTTAAAACAACTCCATAGTAACGAAAATGATCATTTCACCTTACAAAATTTCCTTGTAAGGATCTTCAAACCGATCAAGGTAAAAAGATAAAATATAATGAAATTCTAAAGCAAATCTGAAATTAAGGCAGAGGAAAAAAATGGAAGCAAAATATAAAAAAGGAAAAAGAAAAGGGAAAAGAGAACAAAAGAAAATGAAGAGAAAATAATGATTATTCTGTAATAATAAAACACATTGAGCTGTATGTGTGAATCAGTTTTAATATTTTATATTATCAGGATATATATATATATATATATATATATATATATATATATATATATATATATATATATATATATATATATATATATATAGTTCTGGTTCAGTAAGTAAGTATTGTAAAATATTATCTGAATATGATCTGAAATGTTCAGTTCATTATTCGAGAGATGATATTTATACTGCAAAATATATGCTTTTATTTTTATTGACTCACTGATTTATAGTCTGTTGGGTACATATCGAACTATCTTAATAACTGTATGCGAATGTGTACGGCTACTTAGTACTACAGAAT